TTTTTTGGTTGGGAGACTTTTGATGACTGCTTCTATTTCCATAGGGCTTATAGGTCTATTTAAATTGCTTATCTGTTCTTGATCAATTTTGGAAAATGATAGCTATCCAGAAAATTGTCCACTTCCGTTACATTTTCGAATTTTGTGGAGTACAGGTTTTCAAAGTAGGACCTGATGATTCTCTGAATTTTCTCAGAGTCCGTTGTTATGTCTCCATTTTCTTTTCTGATTTTGTTAATTTGCATGTTCACACTCTGCCATTTGGGAAGTTTGAACAAAGGTTTGCCTATCTTGTTTATTTTCTCAAAGAACCAACTCTTCGTTGCATTGATGCTTTGTATTGTTTTCCTAGTTTCTACTTTATTGATTGCAGTCCTCAGTTTGATTATTTCCTCACATCTACTCCTCCTGGGTCAGTTTGTTTCTTTGTGTTCTAGATCTTCCAGCTGTGCTCTTAATTTTATAGTGTAACTATTCTCCAGTTTCTTCATGTGGGCACTTAGTGCTATGAACTTTCCTCATAGCACTGCTTTCAAAGTGTCCCACAGGTTTGGGTATGTTGTGTCGTCATTCTTATTGGATTATAGGAAGTCTTTAATTTCTTTTTTATTGCTTCTTTGACCCTGGAATGGGGCAATTGTGCATTATTCAATTTCCATGTGTTTGTAGGGCTTCTGCAATTGGTGTTGTATTTTAATTTTAATGCATGGCGGTCTGATAAAATACATGGAGTTATTCCAATTTTTCTGTACCTGTTGAGGATTGATATGTTGCCAAGTATGTGGTGCTGAGAAGAAGGTATATTCTTTTTTATTTGGATAAAATGTTCTATAGATGTCTTTTAATTCCAATTGAGTCGTATCTTCTATTAGCCCTTTTGCTTCTTTGTTAAGTTTCTGTTATTCCTGTCTAGTGGTGAGAATGGGGTGTTGAAGTCTCCCACTATAATCATGTGGGGCTTTATATGTGATTTGAGTTTTAAGTAATGTATCTTTTACGAACGTGTATACATTAGTATTTGGAGCATAGATGTTAAGAATTGAAATTTCATCTTGGTGGATTTCTCCTGTGATGAGTATGTAATGACCTCCTTCATGTCTTTTGATTGATTTTATTTTAAAGTCTAATTTGATAGATATTAGGATTGCTGCCTCCACTTGTTTCTTGGATCCATTTTATTGGAAAATCTTTCCCAAACTTTAACTTTCAGGTAATGTCTGTCTTTGAGGCTGAGGTGTTTTTATTGTATGCAGCAGAATGCTGGGTTCTGTCTTCAAATCCATTCTGTTAGCCTATGTCTTTTTATGGGCGAGTTAAGACCATTAATAGTGAGGGATATTAATGACCATTTATTGCTCATTCTTCTTTGATTTGGAATGGTTGTTGGTGTTGGAATTATGTGTGGAATTCCACTCCTTTTTTCTTTTGGCTGTTGGTAAGGTGGCATTATTGAATGCCTATGTTTTTCTGGTTATAGTTAACTTCCTTGGGTTAGAGTTTTCCTTCCACAAATTTCTGTAGGGCTGGGTTAGTGGATATGTATTGCTTGAATCTAGTTTTGCCATGGAATAGCTTATTTTCTTCATTTATAGTGATTAACAGCCTTGCTGGGTATAGTAGTCTGGGCTGGCATCCATGGTCTCTTAGTGTTGGTAGAATATCCAGGACCTTCTGGTTTTCAACATTTCCATGGAGAAGTCAGGTGTAATTCTGATGGGTTTGCCTTTATATGTTACTTGACCTTTTTTCTTAGGTGCTTTTAATATTCTTTCTTTTTTATGTATATTTAGGGTCTTGATTATTATGTGGTGGGGGGGACTTTTTTTTGCATTACACTCTATTTTGTGTTCTGTAAGCTTCTTTTACCTTCATTGGCATGTCTTTCTTGAGGTTGGGAAAGCTCTCTTCCAATATTTTTGTTGAATATATTTCCTGCCCCTTTCAGGTAGTTTTCTTCACCTTCTTCTATACCTATTTTTCTTGGGTTTGGTCTTTTCATGTTGTTCCATATTTCCTGGATGTATTGTATTAGGGATTAGTTGGATTTAAGATTATCCTTGGTGGATGAATTAATTTATCCTAGTGTACTTTCAACACCCGAGATTCTCTCTTCCATCTCTTGTATTCTGTTGGTTATGCTTCCATCTGTAGTACTTGACTGTTTTGCGCAGCTTTTCTTTTTCCAGCCTTCCTTCAGATTGTGTTTTTTTTATTGTCTCTATTTCAGTTTTCAGCCCTTGTAGTGTTTGAATTGTTTCTTGCAATTTTTTCATCTTTTTGTTGCAAATTTTTTAGTTTTTGTTTTGTTTTTTCTTCCATTTCTTGGTTTACTTTTTCTTCCATTTCTTTGAGGGATTTTCCTATACCCTCTTTTAGGGCCTCTATCATTTTCATGAAGTTGTTTTCAAGGTCATTCTCTTCTGTTTCATTTGCATTGGAATGTTGGAGTCTTACTAGTGTGGAATCTCTAGCATCTGGTGGAGTCATATTTGTGTTTTTGTTGCTGAGTGTGTTTTTGCATTGTCTCTTTCCCATCCCTTCTTCCAGTGGGTGCAGAAAGAACCGCTTACTTGTCTGCTGGTTAGGAGACCAGAGTTCCCTTTTGGTGGGTACAAGCAAGTCCAATACTCTTGTAGTTCTCCTCTTCTTGGTCCTAGTCCTGGAACTGTGTTTGGGAAAGACTGGGAATCTGGGTATGTAGGATCCCATTGGTGGTCTACAGGCACTGGTCCTGGTCCCCTGGTTCTGTTGGTGGAAGAGAAGGCCAGAAATCTGGGGTGCTTGGCTCCTGTGAGGAGGGGAGTCTCTCTGGTGGTCCCCAGGCAGTCCCGGGGCACTGGAAGACAGGCACAGATACAGGGCTTGGTTTACCCGGTCCCTTTGGTGTAAAAGAAAACCTAAAATGTGGGGTGCTTGGCACCCACCAGGAGGGGAGGCTCTGTGGCTATCCCCAGGCACTGTAAGTACCCTGCATTTTTGTGTATCTTTTATTCATTTAATTTTTAAAAATAATTAATAGTATGATTCCATGCGGTTTTTTCAATCATCCATACTGTTTATCTTTCCTATACCGGTCTTGTACCTATCTTTACTTCTCTTCTGCTTCTCTTAGGAGCCTCTGCTCCTCTATTTCCCCTGTTAGATCAATTGCATCTTGATATTCCTCTTTACATTTCTCCCATAAAAACTGACTTCATATAATCACATTACAGATGACCCCAAATTTGTAGAGAAATTGTCTAAATTTTCATATAGAAAATATTAGGTATCAGACTTAAGAATTTGTAAATTTTCTATGAATGAAGAATAAGAATATATATACATATATATTTCATAAAATTAGGTAAGTTGTAATATTAAAAGTAAGTTCTTTAATTTTAAAATTTCAGTATTTAATTCAGACAAAGTCATATTTGTTTTGATTTTATTTTTAGAAATACTTCTCCTGTAGTCAGGCTGGCCTTGAATATATATTAAAATTGAGGATATTAAGCTCAGAATCTTCCTGTAACCAGTTATATAATTTTGGAATTCCACGCATTTTCTACCATGTTTATTGTATGCATGACTAGGGATTGAAGCCAGGGCTCCTTTCAGGCTAGGCAAATATTCTAAGAACTGAGAATTAGATTCAGTCCTAAGATAGAATATTATGGAGATGTAGCCTTGTTATGCTAGAGATTAAATGGAAGGATTTTTAATCTTTGGATGTTCAGGAGTTTGAGAGTTGAAATTTGAATTCAGGCCGTGTTTTCTCAAGAACAAGTAAAATTGCTTTCATAGGTAAGGTCTATGTAATTGTTGAATGCTTACAAAACAAATGTTAAACATTGACCTAACCAACTTCATGAATATTTAGTGGATTTTTTAACTTGCTTGCTTACTTTAGCAAATCTTTAACATGGAGTAAGTTCAACACTGAGCTCTTCCTCTATGTCAGATACCACATTTGGAAATAGGACACAAGTCGGGGGATTTAAACTATTCCTATCACTCCATGGATGGAAATGTGATTTGTAAACAAGTTATTTTTCAAAACAATTTTTAAAATAAATATTTATATAATATTTTTGAAAATATCTTCCCTTCCTCCAACTTTTCTCAGAGCTTCCCTATATACCCAATTTTGTATTCACTCTCTCTCTATCAAATAATCCTTCAACCCATAGAGTAGTTAAACAAAAATAAAAGCTAAAGAAAAAAGCAAAAGTAAAACCAACAACCAACAAAACAACAAAAACCAATAAGACAAAAAATACCAAATCAAATGAAAATCTCACAGATCACTGTGTTCATTTGTTTTTGGACAAACACTACTGTACTTTGGTCCTTCTCTGGAGTCTGGTTGAGATATTCAGTGACAATTTATTGGAGAAACATGATTTTACTCTTTTCCAGCAAGGATTATTTACAAGTAGCATCTTGTTTAGAGGTGGGATCTTCAAGGTGCTTTTAAATAAGAACATTTACTTTCAAGTATTAGACTAAAGATTACCAGGAAAAGAATTTAAAAGTGTGATGAGCTACATTATACTAGGCACGTACCAATATTATGATGTTGGAAAGTTATTTATATTGGTCAAAATTGAAAAAGCTAGGATGTATCTCAAATGTGGTAAACTTTATCTTTTTTTTTCTTTTATGGTATTCTTACTAGTGTGTCTGAAGATCTACATATTACATATGTATGTCTATATCAAAAATACATTTATTTGTATGAACTTCAATTCATATGAGGGAATGAAAATATTACCATTTGTATCAGATAACTACCCTAGGTCAAAGTCTAGGGTTTAGTTTAAAACATAAAATACAACCCATGCATTTCTGCATTTGCTACCCTAGGTCAGAGTCTAGGATTTAGGTTAAATAACAAAATACCACCCATGCAATACTATTATTGAATGCATTTTAGCATTGTATAACGTACTGTTCAACTCAAAGGGACACTGTAATTCAAGTTATTTTAAATTTCATTGTATTTTTATAAACATTATTACTTAAATTAATATTTTGTGTATATTTGTCTTAAATCTACAATAAAAAAGTTTCTTGTCCATGACTCTTTTCACAGCATCCTTTACTTCCTTGTTCCTTAAACTGTAAATCAGCGGGTTCAACATGGGAATCACCAGGGTGTAAAATACAGACACCACTTTCTCTTGTTCTAAGAAGTACTGTGAGCTTGGCTGAATGTAACTGAAGCTAATGGAGCCATAGAACAAAGTCACAGCTGTCAGATGGGAAGCCCAGGTGGAGTAGGCTTTGTGTCTGCCTGCTGCTGAGCGGATCCTCAGGATAGCAGCAACAATGAAGATGTAGGAGATCATCACAGTCAAAAAGGTCATCATTGTAATAACAGTGGTGAAGACCAAAAGCAACAGTTCATTCATGGAGGTGTCAGTACAGGGCAGCTTCAGAAGGTGAGGAAGATCACAGAAGAAGTGACTGATGATATTTGGCCCACAGAAAGACAGCTTCATTAAGCCAATTGTATGCATAACTGAATTGATTAAACCTCCTATACATGAGCCCAACACCAGCCCAATACAAACCAATTTAGTCATAGCCACTGTATATAGTAATGGGTTCACAATGGCTACATAATTGTCATAAGCCATTGCATCCAGAGGGCACATAAGCCCTCTGTGGTAGGCAGTGATACAAACAAAAAATACTGAAGGATACAAGCAGAAAATGAGATGATCTCTCCTTCAACAAAAAAGTTAAGAATTACCAGGAATGGTGTGCATGGCTCCTGCAGGGTGGGGAGGCTCTGTGGCAGTACCCAGGAGTCCCAAGGCACTGGAAACAGAGCATCTCTTTTTATACATACCAAATTTGATGTCCTTGCTCTCTGTTAAAATAAAAATCCAACAAGGTTTTCATAAAGTATACTTGCTGAGAGTGGGAAAATGATTCTTTTGCCGAAGTGGAATGAGAGTAAGTGAATCCATCTGCCCCATGCTCAGGAGCAGATTTTAACTCTTTAGGTGAGGGTGGTCTCCAACTTGTGCTGCCAAGATAACCTTGGAATCTTGATATTTTGTCCTTCATCTCCAATATTCTGGGTTTGAAGGATTCTTTAATAATATATAGCTGGTCAAACTAAGTCCTCAGAATCTTACTGAAATTTTATCGTATCCTGTCAGGGCCAAAATGTAATTTCTCAGAAATATGCTTGGCTCTGTCAAGAATTCTAGGAGCACTGTACTCCTATTATCTTTTAGATGTCAGCTGATTACCCCCAGGTGCCTGGCCTCAGTGGGGAATGTCTCCTAGTTCATATAACAAAAGACCAAGTCCTGGGAGAGCCTACACTCACCCTCAAAGCTAGTAAGTGCAGTTTAGGAGTGCCTGTAGGATTAAAGGACATATTTGATATCAGCTCTATACATGATAATGGATACATGGATGTCTTTTGTCAGAACACCCCTCTCCCCCACTTTTGGAAAGTCATTTAGGATTATGCTGAAATAAACCACGGTGTCCTGTTTTGACTGAGAGCCCTTCTGAGCTCACCACATGTCTCTATTTTGTCCTTAACGTTGTTGAGTAGCTAGGATTTCCCACATCTAAACTCCCTCACTTGGGGTGGGACCTGGTGCTTTTTGACTGGTTCCAATCACAGCCCAAAAGACATCAGTCTGGGATAGATGGTTTCTGAAGCACAGGACTGATACAAGTCAGACCCTGGCAATATCCAACCATTTTGTAATCATTCTATCAGTTTATGATGACTTTACATGAAGAAAAATTTGGATTCTGCTTTGTACTTTCTTAACAAAAGATGCAATTCTTTGGTTCACATGTAGGGTAACTCCCTAATCTTTACAATTGACATTCAGTAAAATATGATGTTCTCACCCTTAAACTCATCCGTTAAATGGGTCATGCTACTTGGCCTTGATGGCATGTAATCTTGAATTTTCCCAGTAAAAATTATTCAACAACCTTGGTCTGCAAAGCTACACAGAGAAACCTATCTTGAAAGCAAAAGTTATTCCTTATATTTATTGAACATTTTTCACTTTATTTCTTTATTGAATATTGTTCCATGCAAATAATTAAAAATATTTCATCTTTTGTTAATGAAATAATCCTTCCTTGGTATATTTGAAGTAATATCTCTTGACCACCTTCTCTTGTGTTTTATTTCTACTTCACAGAAGTCATTATCTGTATTGTTTCTATGTCATATGCTTATTGTTTTGTTTTCATTTAACATGATTAAGTAAGTGACCATAAGAATTATTCTTCCAGCTCAGTGCAGCATTTCAATAGTTGTACTTAGTGGACCTGTTATACTGATGAGTCAGTTTTATACAGAGAATAAGTAATGTGATCACCAATAAATACTTCTTTACAAAATACATTTTAATTCTAGCATATTGACATTAGTCCTAATCACAGTTATATCATATAACTTTTATGCATATGATCATCAGACTGTCTACAAATTGGTATCCTGTTACCATGAAACAAAATTAAAAAAACAGAAGACATTTAGAAGTGTATATTGATGTTAAATATTCTCTGGAGCTGCTGGCAAGAGCTAGTGTGATTTTTCACTGTTACATATTAGATGTTTCAAATATAAATAAATGCACAGGAACTTTCTCACATACAGAAAAGTGAACTTGGTAAAGAAAAAGAGAAGGTCATAAAACAGCATTATTCAGGTGATGGGATTTATGCTAGGTAATGAGCTTCAAAAGTACATCAAAGAGACCCAGAAAGAAATTGGCTGAATAGAAGGCAACAATATCGTTGAAGGTAGCCCACATGTTTGTTATATCCTTATTTCTCCTGAACTGACTAAAGTGTGAGTCATCAATATTTGCAGCTGATGGTATTGTTCTGCTTCTCTACATACTATATCTTCATGTTTAAAGAGAGTCCATCCAGCCAGGCGTTGGTGGCGCACGCCTTTAATCCCAGCACTCGGGAGGCAGAGGCCGGCGGATCTTTGTGAGTTCGAGACCAGCCTCGACTACCAATTGAGTTCCAGGACAGCCTCCAAAGCCACAGAGAAACTCTGTGTCAAAAAAAAAAAACCAAAAAAATAAAAAAAAATTAAGAGAGTCCATCCAACATCCTGTCTGTGTAAAACTGAAATTTTTATGATCAAAAATCCCTCTTTTTTGCAGTAGACAGTTTTATTTAAATGTTTAAGGCTCCAAATAGACAGGGGACTATTTCCATTACTTATTTCTTGTACTGTATGTTCAAGGAATGTACCTCTTATGTAACTATAAAAGGTAACATGTATAATATTGTCTTATATCTGCCTGTTTGCAAAGACCAATAGTGGTATTCCTTATTTGACTCCCAATTTCTTTTTCTTTTGTTTGCTTTTTGATTTTTGAGACAGAGTTTCTCTGTGGCTTTGGAGGCTGTCCTGGAACTAGCTTTTGTAGACCAGGTTGGTCTCAAACTCACAGAGATCCACCTGCCCCTGCTCTGGAGTGCTGGGATTAAAGGCATGTGCCACCAATGCCCGGCTTGGTTCCGAATTTCGGCAGTGCTTATTTTCTGTTAATAGTAATGATGTCTGTTACAGACTACAGTATTATGCAGTGGGAGTTCAGTGCATACATCAGGGGTCTTCGCATCATAGACTCGCAGAGATCTGCCTGCCTCTGCCTCCGGAGTGCTGGGATTAAAGGCATGTGCCACCAACGCCCGGCTATGGAGACACCTTATTTAGCAAAGTGATCATATATACTGCGTTTTGAATGTGTTAAGCTGCTTTCAATGCAGACTTCTTGTGTGAAGAACTCTTTACCTCACATTACAGCTTGTGGATTCTTCCCACAGGACTGCAGTATGTTGATTGTTTACTGTGCACATATTCTGTGGATGGTCTGGAAGATGAATTTTCATTTCACTATATAATTTTGATGTATAGAATATATCCTGGGACATGCTTCATAACTGGATCTCTGTCCCACAAGGACTGTGGACTCTTAACAGATTGCCCTATTCTCTTGCTCAGACTACTGCACACAATTATCTCACTTTCACCTCTCAGCAAGTTCAAACTAGACTAAAAGCTTTTTGTAAAAATAAATAAATAAATAAATAAATAAACCTTTACAGCTTGCACAAGTTCAGAGTCACAGATGTCTACCAAGGTTATTAAGAAAAGCATGCCAATTCTTTTCTGTCCAGTCTACTAACAATAGATCTGTGTCTTAAAGTTGTCATCTGACACTGTTTCAGCCTTTACAGCATTATGGGAGACCAGGCTGGTCCTAGGGATCCTAGGTAAGACATCTCCCACTCTCCATTAACTGTGAGCTCATGGGAGCCCGTGGACATTGGATCAACAGTCAGAGAGCAGAATGGGAGTAACATAGGCCCTCTGCGTGGGTGTGACAATCGTGTAACTTGGTCTCTTAATAAGGCTTCTAACACTGAAAGCAGAACTCCTATGATGGATTATCAGATCCCGACTTGACGTAAGTGAATGAGCTTGGTCCTACCTCAATTTGATGAGCTCTGCTTTGTGCAAGCTCATGTGAGGCATGTCCCTTTCTGAATGGAGGTGGAGGAGGACTGGATGGGGAAGAGAATGGATGGGAAAGGAGAGAGAATGGAAAGAGAGAGAGGAAAGGAGGGAGGGAAAACTGATTGGTTTATAACATAAATGAAAAAACAGTTACTTAACTAAAAAGCGTTAAAAAAGAAAGTGAAAAATAATGAAGAAAATTTTAAATTAAGCCATGGACCCCATAGAGATATTCAAAATCCAGATACGTAAATGTGAATACTCATATATACAACTTGAATAAACGTATTTCAAGCAAGAAAATAAAATTAAAAAATGAAAGCACCAATGACAATAATGATAATAAAATAATAATTAAATAAGAAAGGAAGGGAAATAGAGGGGAAAGAGCATACGTAGTTAGCACTGTTGCTTCAAATTCAGATAAGAAGATATCTTTGCTAAGAAAATGACATCTACTTTAAAAAAGGAAGAGCTAAGTGGGCTTTTTCATAACATCATCCTTGGATTTGACCAATAATGATACCAATTCAGAGCCTCATGATAGTTTAGGTGGAAAAGGAAAACCAAACTCTATCCTGAGTAGGGAAAAGACTATGGGCATGTAAATGGGGAGAGGCTTATTCAGAAAAGGACAAAAATCTATAATGTGTTGGATGTTACACAATTATGTTTTGGTGTTTGGTTACACAAAATAATTTTGGTGCTGTTTACCTTGAATATAATCCTAAGAAATATTATATCCAGGCTTTATTATTTTTTGTCTCTGAGGAATCAAATAATGAGATTTATGTTCTCCATAATAAAGAAAATATTCATACATTGTAAAATTAAAGACAACAGAAATATTATCTGAATTGGTTGAAGTTTACATTGTATTTAAGTTGGTATACTATCTAGGAATATTTAACTGGAGGCTTTGGGTGCAACTTTGTGGTAAAGTCCTTGATTATCAAGCAAAATGTCTGAGGTATATCATGATCTGTGCTGGATTAAAGTAACAAGACTCCATGAAGGTGACCAAGCTAATCCAACACAACCATGGTATTGTATACAATTACAGTGTTGAAAACCAAACTTATTTTTCCAGTGGAGAGGCAAGTTAACTTACTTTTAAACCGATGCTCAAATGAATATGTATCATATATTTACAAATGTTTGCACAGATATACATAGCATTGGATGTTAAAACCAAATACCCAAGCCATGCATTGGTGGTGCACGCATTTAGTCCCAGCACTCGGGAGGCAGAGGCAGGGGGATCTCTGTGAGTTCGAGGCCAGCCTGGTCTACAGAGCGAGTTCCAGGACAGCCTCCAAGACAATACAGAGAAACCCTGTCTCGAAAAAAACAAAACAAAAAAACCAAATACCCAGTACTTTAAAATATCTCTTAATTTAGAGAAATAGTCTTTTCATATGTAGTTAGTTATAATGAAGTTTTACCATGGGTGTCAATCCAATGTATTTACTATCCTCATAAGGGCAGATTAGGAAAAAGGCATATAAATAGGGAAAACAGCAAGAAGACAATAAGAAACTAATATACAGGGGAAAATGTACAATAATCTACAGAAAAATGCCTAAGGGCAATTTAATTTTGTGCACCATTAGGTATTAGATCTCTAGCATTCAGCACAGAAAAAAAATCATACTTTGTTTCTTTGGTTGGTTGGCTGTTTTTTGTTGTTGTTGTTATTTTGTTCTTCATAAGCCAAGTGCTATATGCTGTAGTATAATGATAGTCCTATTAAGCTACTACAGCAATTTCAGCAGATTTGTATGGGACAGTGTCTGGGAAATCTCTGCACATAGATACAGATTTTAAGAAACAAGCAGATGCCACACCTTTAGATATATAAA